CAGATTTATTTTAGTGTTGGGGGCATTAGAAGATAACGTCAATGTCTTAGTAACATATCCGGTTTTATTGCTCGGTTACTTTGCTGTTTGCTGTTGTTATTGCCGCTGTGTTGTGTCTTCTGTTTGCTACTTTGTGTCATTAAACATTTGAAAAGAGACACACTCACACACATACACACACATAACACACATCAAATGTGTAAAGCAAATGAAGCGTAGCAAGTATATATGTGTGTTAGTAAGTGCTTTCTACCAGGAAAACTAATTATACTGTTAAATGCGTTTGTTTAACTGCCAATTTAATTAAGGTTATGCTTTTGTTCTGGCCAATCCCTAATCTGCCCGCTGAGCTTGTTCAAGCTCCGACCGCTACCGTTGTCCCAAAAATTGTTCCAACATTTCAGCAATTACAAAAGTTGCCCCCCCGCTCACTTCTCTTCTCACATACCGTACATGAAAGTTGCGGCAATGCGGTTGCAAGGGTTAAGGTTTAAGGTTTAGAAGGGGTTAAGGGGTTAAGGGGGTCAGCCATTGCCTAAAACGCAACGCGACAGCATGAAAATTATGTAAAATAAGTACAATGTGCATTTGCACTTAGCCGAGCGTGCACAGTGGCTGCGAAAAGTTTTCTCATTTGCGGTAAGTGAATCAAAATATTAGCTTGAAAAATTCCACATGAATACCTATATGATATTAACTAAAACGTTGAAAGCCGATTATGAAATACAGTGATGGTAAATATTGAAAATTAAATATTTTCATACCAGTAAAGTGTTATGAACTACCTTGAAAAGCTTTTATGGTTTATTAATATAATCCAAGTTAGTTACTTAAAACAATTTTAGTTAGTTATTATTGAAATCAACTGCTAAACATGTGAGAATTCAGGTTAGTTACAACAGAAAATGCACTAACAAGGGAGATAGAACTATTAATGTCATGAAAAGTTATTTAATTATCGATATATTATCGATTGTAACTTTTAATTAAATATTGGAAGTTATTTTTCATGTATTTAAAACCTTATCCCATGGTTCTTTTCTTTTTTCTCATTCAGTATTTGGCTTTCGACCAAGCCGAACAAAAAATAATCGTGTGACAACAGCAATTACAATTACACATGGCACACAGCACATGGGACGTAGTGGTCGCAGTTGTAGCTGTTGTTGTAGTTGTTATCCTTATTGTTGTACTGTAGTTGTGGTTAGAGTGGCAACAGCAACAACAACACCAACCACTTTAGGGATATCAAAAATAAACCACTAGGAGAGCAACTTGGAGTCGAGAGCATCGACGATGGCAACGAATATGAACATGTAATTACGTTTTAAGTGCTAAATTGTAAAATATTTACGTAAAAACTATGTATGTTAACTTAATTGAAATTTAATTGAATATGTCATAAATGTGTGAACAACGGCAGCAGCAGCAGCAGCAGCAACAACAACAGCAACGAGCAGCAGCGATGCGCACGAGCAACATGAGCAACGGCAGCAACATGGCCGACAAACTGTTGGTCAATGTGGTTAGCAGTCAGCAATCAGGATAGTACCATGATCTGGGTTTTTTTTTATTTGGGATGGGGTGTGGTGAAAAGATGGAGCGGTTGTTGCCGAGCCTCCAGGCGAAAACTTGGCATTTAAATGGTTTCGACCAGCGTGGAACGCAAAGCCGCGAGGCATTTATCATTCGGTGCGGCCACGTTGCTTTTGCTGTTGGTTTCGTGTGCTGCCACTAATAATGACGTCAGCAGCATGCAGACCATGAAATTTATGCACATCGAACATCGAAGTGCATGAGTGTGTGTGTATGAGAGCCTGTTCTATATGTGCATATATTCCGACGGCCAACACAATTCGACAGAATCGGCCAAAACGTTGGGTCAGTGCCATGAAGATTAATGCCCAGGCGCTGCTTGTCGGCGTGGAATCCGCATTTTCGGTTCCTTTCATTACACAATAAACAAATTTTGAAACAAACTAAGAAAGTTAAACATAAGAAGACTTATTTTTAAAACCTATCCCACTAGCCTAGATAGCCACACTTTTCATTTCATCTTTAATTTAAGATCACTCGTTTTTGTTGTTTTTCCTTCCATTTAATTTTCTTGCCTTTGCATTAACGAAAAATATTTCAATACATTTTCTTACTGTGTAAAGGCTTTATTGTTCCGGCAAATAGTAAAGGAAAAATTCTCTGGCATTGCTGCTCAGTTCGCTCGCTCCTCGTTTTCGTGTTCTTTGTTTTATTTGCCACTCGCCCTCTGTGAACCTCTCGGATCTCCAGGTTCTGCAAATACTGTTGGCACTTTGTCTTAATTGCTTAAAAATTACTGACATGGAAAATGAACTCGGAAAATGTTAACCATTTCCCATCTCCCATCTCCGCCCTCAATGTCCCAGCATCAGAGCATTGTCAACGATTTGGCTGCCCTAACGGCAAATACTTGCAAATATTATTGTAGTCGAATGTCGGCAACTATTTATCATCCTGTTTGGGGCGCCCCGAGTCGGGCGGACCATTTGACAAACTTAATTTATTAATGCACTGCTCCCATCTCGTTACGTTTCGTTTCGTTTCGTTTCGTCCTGCTGTAAATGCCTGCCTCTTGCTTAAAAGCACATTAATTTTCATTTCATTTGGTGATAAAACAAAGACTTTCCATTTTAAATATCTAGTGACAACTAACAAATAAAATGTGCCCCTAAGTCCTTGCCGGGTAATTGTTTTCCCACCCCAACTCCCGAAATTCCGGATGTCAGCTTCAACTTTAGCCCCAGAAAGTCTGGACCTGAGCCGAGGGGGCCTTTTATCTTGACGATGATGTGGCACTCGGGCAAATCATCATCGCTGCTGTCATGCCTCGTCATTTGCATACTTGCCAGCAGAAATGGAAGTGGCACTGGTCCATTGCCCTATTGCCTCCAACAAATGCGAAATACAATCATAATGTGAAGTGGGACTTGGGCTTTCTTTTTTGGTGTCCAGCTGACAGGCGAGTGGCGTTCAGCGAGGTGCCAACGATAGGGCGGGTCTCTTATGTCGGAATGTTAAAGCCCAGGCTTCCGCTGATTGATATGCATGCGAAATCTAAGCATCGCTTGGCTTTGTTTATTGACAGGCAATTTGCGGAGCCAGCGCTTCAATTTGCCAATTGACAGCCACATCACAGGGCATCAGCGGGATTTTACTCATGGATATTTTCTCAATACCTGAACGACGGACCCCGAGCATCGCTTAAAATAAATAGTTTTCAAAAACACATTCCACGGTTCTATAGTTCAATTAAATTTGAATGCCAGTTGGCGGTTGGCAAAAGGAATTTCACAAATGCTGTGCGGCCATGTCGAAGCATTTGAGTGCATTAATTAGTCAGAAAAACAAATACAAATTCATCTATTTGCAGTTTTACACAGAAAGAAAAGAGTGAATTACTTTAGAAATGAAATGAAATATGCTATTAAGGAAAAATAAATATTAAAATATTTTTTACACTGAAATTTTATGAATAAATTATTTAAATTTGTTTTATATTTTATAGAAAGTTTAAATAATTCATTCAATTATAAAGATTATCAAGCTGAAGTAAATCATTGCTTTAACAAATTATACAAATTATTTTTCTTTCAATGTAGTTGGTTCTAATTTTAATGAGCTACCCCCCGCATGTTGCGTATACGCCACGTTGCAGCGGCAAAGAAAGCGATTTGCATTATTTATGGCTTGGCTGGCCGGTCGGTGGCTCTAATTGAAACCGCCAAATAATTGGCCCGCATCGACCTGCAGCTAAGCCAATTAATGCGACCATATAATTTCAGTTCATGCGGGAATTGGCCAACGGCAGCTGGAAGTTCGTAGCGCGGAGACCAGTTCCTAATAAAATGAAATTACCCGGTCAAGTGCAGCAAACATTTTGGAAATTACAATGACCCATGCGGGGATTGGGAGGTGTTAGTGGGCGTGACTGGGTGGCGGCCTTTGCATTTGAGTGTTCATTAAACACACAACAAGGGGGCAAAAAGTGTCACGGGTCGCAGCAATTCAAACTGCATTACGTATACGAAATGCAGGCCGATTGGAAAATTGCGCCAATCTTGCTGCTAAGTGGCCATAAAACTGCCAGCCAGGACAACTATATTTCCACACCAGCCTTTTCTCCTTATTTTCCACTGCAGTGGAAAACATTTTCCCACAGCCACTGCCATTGTCATTGGCGGGAAGTGCACGAAAATTAGCTGGCATTGGATGCTTGACAATAAAATTGACATTCGGATCGACAACGAGTTCACAGTGCCACCCTACTCCTACTTTTTTTCGAGTGAATAATGCAATTCGTTTTTCGCTCTTCCACTGTTCCAGGCTTGGACCCCGCCCCCTTGTTCGCCCTTTGTTGTTTGCCGTTTTGCGTTCTGTTTTTTAATCGATTGATTGAAATGTTTGCTGCAAATTGATTGATGGCATGCAGCCAGCCATGCTCTCATATATGTACGTGCCATATGCCATGGCAGGGAATATATATATCTATACATTTTAAATTGATATAGCCATCAGATGACAGTTGAGTGGTAGGAAATGGGGAAAACAAAATTCAGAGAAACCTCAAGTGTCTTCGAACTTCAATATGCGCATATCCATAAATGGAGCACTTTGTTTAATGGCCAATAACTCGATGACTGCAGAGCAATCGTCAGTCGGTTTGCGTTGGATTGAAAACATTCTGGGTACATTTCTAACAAGTCTGCCTGCCTGTTTTAGGTTTATTCTTCTTCGTACATTACTGGATTTGTAAAGAGATTTGACATGTTAAAAACCTGATTGATTGATTCGCTTAGCTCAAACACACGCTGCCACATCCTCGCACATATAAATACGGATACATCTATAAGGGGAGGGAGTCCCACAGCTTAGAGCTTGTCTAACACGCCACTTACAAGCCGGCTTGTAAGGGCAATTTATCAAGAGACCGGAATATTGAAGGGAAAGTCCAAGTAATTACTTACCGATCGACGGCGATGGCCACCAAATGCAAAATCGAGGCAGTGCAGCAGAGGACGTCGCACGATGTCCAGATATCGCATAATTCCGGGCCAAGTATCCAGCCTTGGCTGATCTGTGTGGATAAAAAGGAGAGCAGGAAAGGGAGGGAGTGTGGTCATAAAGCTGGTTAGTCAAATAGACAATAAAAGTTGATGGCTTATTAAATTTGATGCTCCCCAAGTATGGAGTGTAAAATGTAATGGCTTCTAATAACAAAGCAAACAACCAAGGCTTTATAAAGGGTCAAATGTTGAACGAAAGGGTTCAAAGTCGAATAGAAGCCATGGGAAGTCAAAGCGTGCTGCGGAACTTTATACTCTTTGGTCTCTTGGCCAGCGGCCAGCTGCAGATTCCAGTCGTCGAAATCGATAACTACATGGACGACGAAATTCTTCACTTGCTTGAACTGATCACAACCCTGCAGAATTTCATGGGATTTTACTGTGGCATAACATACACTGGCAACATTGATCTCCGACCATCGCTTGAGCGTCGTTTAATGGATACATTTTCATTCCCAGTTTATACTGTTCGATCTGATATGGGTCCTGTAAAACACCATTACCAGAAAGCTGAAAATTTGGTAGTGGTTCTCTTTAAGGGACTGGATGATCCAACACTCTCTGCTCTCAACGACACGGAGCTTACCCATGGCCAGGAGTTGTTCATCCTGGTGCATGCCTCATCGGCTGATGATGAAAATCGTTTTGAAGTCGATTCCATTCGGAAGTTATTCAGTTTTTTCTGGAAATTGTCCTTCGATCGCACATTGCTTATTGTTAGAGGCAAAACCAAGATGGAGTTGTGGTCATATTATTTTTTGGGAGAACTTTACGTAGTGAAACTCCAGGGATCTGATTTATTTTTGGAAAATATTCGAAAAAATAACTACAGGTTTCTCGTTCATGTTGTTGATGATCCTCCAAATATCTTTTGGGTGAGATTTTAAAACCTATTGTTACTGAAATGTAGACACAGTCAATATATATTTCACATATTTTGCAGTACAACTCATCGGAACTAGCGGATGTGACTGGCGGTGGCAATATTAGTATGTCCGGCCCCATTGGTCTGATGATGATTGAATTTATGCGTCAGCTAAATGTGACTATGGATATCATTCCGGTCCCAGGTCAACAGACATCTAAGTATGAAGTCTTTCAACAGCCAAGAGAACGGAGAGTGGATGTGGTGGCCAATATGGTGATCAACGACAATCTTACATATAGTCCCATTGTTGCAGAGTTTCAGCTCTGTGTTGCGGTCCCAAATCGAAGGAGCATTCCGTTAAGGCGATTCATGGACAAAGTGATTAGCCCCGAAGTTCATTTATTATTTTTTTTATCGAGTATTTGCGTTATTGTTGTCAAGTTCTTTTCTCATCGCCGTCGATCAATACTGAACCCGTTCTTCAATACATTTAGATTTTTCTTAGCTCTTCCCCTACCCAGTGGTAGGTTGGATCGATTGCCCATGTCCGATAAGTTACTAGAAGTGTATACATTTTTTATCGTTGGACTTTTTGTAAGTGCGAATATATCGGTACTTTCCACGATCTTGACAACTGGTCTTTGGGAGCCAGAGATTACAAACGTCGAAACTATGCGTGCTAGTGGTCTAAAGATACTCACAGACGATCCAACAGTACCGCCGGCTTTCAATGATGACATTCTGCCCAGTTCATTGGCTGATCAGGTGCAACTTGTCGACCAGCAGACTTTATTCCATTTACTTACCACCCTAAACGATAGTTTCGCCTATGTGGTTAAAACGCCCAATTGGCGATCCTTTCGGCTATATCAGCAAAGAATGGAGAGGGAAGCTTTGACGATCGCTGGGGAAGAACTCTGCTCTACGATGCAACCCATGCGAATGCCCATTAATCCCAAGTCCCCAATAAGGTTTCTTTTTAAAGATTTTTTCACTAGGGCTTTCGAGGCTGGTCTTTACCAAAAGTGGGTAAAGTTGGGTTTTAAAAAGTTTCGAGAAATTAAAGGCTTAGAAAAATTGCCTGTAGACAACAAGATAAATTGGATTCCGCTACCATTGGAAACCTATGTATTTGCCATTAGGACTTACCTTGGCCTTATGGCGGCTAGTACAGTGGTGTTTATTATTGAATTGCTATACAAGAGATATGAGCTTTACAAGGAAAGGCTTGCAATTTGAATTTGTAATTTTGAATGTTAATTTTTAATACTCTTGGAGAACGAAAACTAACTGAATACTTGGTTAATAGTACTACTTATTTGTCTACTTAATAATGATTGCTTGTGTAATGTGTGCATTTTGTAAATCATATTGAAATAAATACATCACCGCTTGTGCTTTTTTTAGGCACCCCTTACCTACCTCGTATACAGCTCCCAGAGGCATCACTAGACAAGCCACGAAGAGATCGGCGACGGCCAAAGAGGCCACTAGATAGTTGGCCACGTTCTGCAGATTACGCTCCAGGATAATAGCCGCAATGACGAAGACATTGCCTGCAATGATCGAAAAGAAAACTCAATCAAATGAAGAGCACTAAAAGGGAATGGGGGACTTTTTTTTTGGTTTTTGGTTTTTATACTAAGGAGCGGGCTTTCAGCAGCCTAATTGCGAAAATTGACTTGAGACAAAAAGTTTTCGATTCAATTCGAGCTGCAACTGATGACTGAAAACGAAACCAAGAACCGCAGTGGAACAGATAAACTTTTCGGGAATTGGCAAACTTCTTTAGAGGCGAGATATCCGAGAACCGAGAGCGCAAGAACCAGGACACCAATGAAATGGGAATCTTATTAAGCTTGTCCCCCAGCATTGCAATGTTGCAATTCCAGTTTGCACTTGAGCTGGCAGACAAAGACAAAGTTCACAAAAGCCAAAATAAACGACATGAGCTAATCGCGCTGTCGTAAACTTTGCCAAAAGCCCCGAAAAGATGAGGACGAAGGGTGTGAAATTGACGTGAGGGGTTGCTCGTGGGACTCGCAGGGAGGAGGGGAGGGGACACCACCTTTGATGTCTGCTAGTGTGCTTATTTTTCTTGACTTTCTCGACTTTTCCCACTGCCTTTCCCTGCATTTTTCCGCCACTGTCACCGACTACTTGTGGCGCACTTGAGGCTGCAAAAGAAAGACAGCCACTACAGGTGCGTGACATGCAATTTGTGGCATTGAATCCGCCGACAGTCGCCGTCAGGAGGTCTTTCACACACACACACACACCCTAGCTGAATCCGCCTGGAGACTCACAGATACGCAAGACACAAACACAAGCACACACACATCTACCAGGCACATGCAATTAGATACTTGAGTGTCAAAGTGAAGGCAAGTAGACAAGCCTCATGCCTGCCAGCTGTTTGCGTTTTTGAGTTCCATGCAGTGCCTTCGCCGCGGGGGTCGTTCAAGCCATTGCATCCCAAGAAGGTGTATGGTTTTATAATATTATCATAGTTTTATTTTGTAAGAATAAAACAATTCATAAAAAATGTTAAACAAAATACAGCAATCAAGGCTGCCACAAAATGTAATAAGATCTTAAAACAACTTATATGGTCAAAGCAAAGTGTTAGTATACTTATTGAAATTCCATGCTTAAAGTCTCTGAAGAATCAGTTTAAATGCGAATAATAAGTGGGTCAAATAATATTACCATTAAATTCGTATATTTTTAGGCATTCCCCTCGGTCGACATTTTGTTACTTTTTTTGTTATTTTTCTGCTGCTGAGTGACCAAAAGCGTGAAGCAATCTAGCTAAAATTAGCATTAAGACTCATTAGCATTTTCTTTTTAAATGCTAAATGCTGCTGCCGTCCCACTTGGACGGCGACAAAAACTGCAGAAGTTCAAAAGCGAGACAAGCTGAGCTTGAAGAAAGGAAAGGAAAAACTAAATGGCGGAATGGGACAGAAAAAGAGCGAGAGAGAGAAAGGCCAGTGGAAGAGGAAAAACTAAATAAACACAAATTAGTAGGAAATCAAAATGAAAACAAGTGAGAGGAAGCGAGACATTTGAATGGCTTTCGGCCAATTCAGTCAGGATCCTTTGGGAGTGGCGCTAAGAATCGTAGCATACTTTTCAGCGCTCGTTATTTTTATTTGCCTCTTGACTTTTGTGCGCTGGCCGTTTTAAATGTGTTGAAATATGATTTGTCGGGCAACAATCGATATACAAACTTTGGTCACTCTTAAGCTACCCTTTTATTGCTTTATGCGATATTTTCTTATGTATTCCTTCTTCTTGTATCTGCTTTTGAAGACGTCACCACATATTGTCGCGCAGCCTTATTAAACATATAAACTTATAAGTTACTCATGTTAAACATACAGCTTCTTATCCGAGTTCCACAATAAATGAAATATCATATAACCAACAGGTTATGGGCCCAGGGCTCGTGTGGATAAAAAACTGTGACATTAATTTAAATTACTGTGTGTGATTGCGAAAAAATTAATGAACATGAGTGGACACGGGTTATGTTCCATCGAAAAGTTGGATGAGGAAAATTACGCGGTATGGTCGGTACAGATGAAAAGCATTCTGGTGCAAAGTGATCTGTGGCCAATTGTGTGCGGGAGAACTGTGAAAAATGAAGGGGATAGCCAAGAACAAAACGCATTGTTTGATACACGGGACGAAAAGGCATTAGCAAGCATATTGCTGGGTGTAAAGTCGTCGCAAATTAACTTCATAAAGAATTGCACGTCGTCAAAAGAGGCATGGGAGAAATTAATGAGTGTGTACCAGCCGCGCGGACCAGCTAGAAAAATAGCATTGTTTAAAAGATTGCTGCGAATGAGCTTGCTAGAAAGTACAAGTGTGCAAAGCTATATAAGTGAATTCTCGGACATAGTGGAAAAGTTAAACGAAATAGGAATGAACATAAGTGAAGACATGCTTACAATTTTGTTGCTAACCGGCTTAGGCAAATCATTTGAAAATTTCGTTGTGGCAATCGAGACGCGAGAAATGTTGCCGTCCTTATCTGACTTGAAAATAAAAATTATTGAAGAAGGACAGAGACAACAAGTGAAAAGTGAAGTTGCGGACAGCAGTGTGCAGCAAGCATTTATGTCGCGCGCGAAGAATGTATACCAAAAGGGTAATACAAAAAAGAAAAAGAAGTGCTATAGGTGCGGACGCGAAGGTCATTTATAGCTCAGTGCAAAGAAGAATTAAAAAATGACAAAGACACAAGCACTGAGAAGAAGAGAGCCCTTGCTATTCTGGCGAATGTGAAGAAAACTGACAATTTGAGCAAATCAATGTGGTGTCTGGACAGTGGCGCGACTGTACACATGTGTTGTGATAAGTCGTGGTTCGTAGAAATGAGAGAGCACAAAGAAAAAATATTTCTTGCTGGCGCCAATTTTGTGTTGGCCGATGGCATTGGCACTGTGTGTGTTAGTGTAAAAAGTTTCACAATAGAACTGAAAAATGTGTTGTATGCAAAAGAGTTACAGACAAACTTTATATCGGTGGCTAAAGCAGTTGAAAATGGATATAAAGTCATTTTTGATAACCACAAAGCAGTGATTAGGGATAAACAAAATGTGGACATATTGAAAGCGTGCAGATATGGTGACTTGTTTATGATTGACATAAAAATGAAGCAGTGTATGTATTCTAATACAAACAGCAGTGCAATGTGGAAATGGCATTATCGTTTTGGCCATATAAATTTGTCAAGCTTAACTAAAATGGCGAGTGGTGGAATGGTGAATGGTTTAAAAACAGTTAATACAAAAATTGACTCAAACAGCAATGCGTGTGAGACTTGCGCCAAAAGTAAAATTAGTGTGAAACCATTTCCAAAGAAATCTGAAAGTCGTTCAGAAGAAGTGTTGAATTTGATTCATTCGGACATATGTGGACCAATGAACAAACCGTCTGTCGGGGGTGCGCGTTATTTTGCAACGTTCATTGACGATCACTCGCGTTATACAGCTGTTTATTTTTAAAATCTCGTGATGAAATACTAAGCGCATTCAAAGACTATGTTGTGTTTGCAGAAAAACAACGCGGAAAGAAAGTAAAAGCAATTCGAAGCGATAACGGGCGCGAGTACGTGAGCCACGCATTTGGACAATTTCTTACTGAAAACGGTATAGTAAGACAGCTGACAGTACCCTATACTCCACAGCAAAATGGAGTTGCCGAAAGAGCAAATCGCACTCTGGTAGAAATGGCCAGGAGTATGTTGATTCATTCAAGCGCAGATGAGAGCCTGTGGGCTGAGGCAGTACAGACTGCAGCATATCTGCGCAATAGGTCAGAAACAAAAGCGTTGTGCAACATGACACCATATGAGGCGTGGGTTGGCAAGAAACCGTATGTGTCGCACCTCAAGGTTTTTGGCTCAAAGGCAATCGTATTGAATAAAGCCCATAAAAAGAAGTTTAGCCAAAAAGGTAATGAATACGTTATGATTGGCTATTCAGCAACGGCAAAAAGCATATCGTTTGTTTTGTCCTAAATCAAGGAAAGTTATTGAAAGCAGAGATGTTATTTTCATGGAAAATAATGTAGGTGGATCTCCAAGCGATAAAATGGAAATGGCATTGTTTGATGATTTTGTAGCAGATAATCAGCAGGCACAAGACAACAATGATGAGCAGCTTCAGGCAGAGGATGATTTGGACGTCGGAGAGGATGACTTGGACACAGGAGATGATCAGAACAGTGATGAATACGAGAGTGCTATCAGCGATGAGGCAGAGCAGCCTGCTGTATCTGAAACCCGTGGACCAGGGCGTCCAAGACTCGTTAAAACTGGCAAGCCGGGGCGACCACGTAAGCAATACAACTGTCTGAATATGCTGAAGGCAGAGGATATACACATTCCAGCAAATTTGGGTGAGGTTAATCAGTCAGGAATGAAGCAGGAATGGTCAGCATCGATTCAGAAGGAGATGGATGCGCTAGAGGCCAATAACACGTGGGATCTAGTGGATCTGCCACAAGATAAAAGGGCTATAGGCTGCAAGTGGGTATTTGGCGTAAAGGTTGACAAGGAAGGCTATGTAGAGCGCTTTAAGTCAAGACTAGTTGCCAAAGGATGTGCTCAGCGCTATGGTGTTGACTTCTGGGAAACATTCTCACCTGTGGTCAGATACCCGTCCGTTAGAATGATCATGGCATTGGCGGTTGAGAAGAAGCTGCATTTGCATCAGATGGACGTATCTACTGCTTACTTGAACAGCGAGCTATCGGAGGACGTGTACATGCGGCAACCAGATGGGTTCGTAAGCGAAGAGTTTCCCGAGAAGGTCCTAAAGCTAAAGAAGTCTCTGTACGGGCTTAAACAAAGCGGCAGAGAATGGAATACTAAGCTCGACGCAGTATTGAAAAAACTTGGTTTTACACCGTGTGTCAGCGAGCCGTGCGTATATGTACGCAATGGACAAGGTAGTATAAATATAATAGCAGTTTATGTTGACGATCTTTTACTTGCCAGCTCAAATAAAGATGAACTTTTGGGCATCAAAGCATCAATCGCTAATAAGTTTGATGTTGTGGATGGCGGCCAGCTCAATCACTTTTTGGGCATCGAAGTTGAGCGCGATGGCGAAACTGGCAGCATAGCTATCGGCCATAAGCAGTATGTCGAGCAGATGCTTCATGCCTGGGGCATGTCAACATGCAAACCTGTAGCTACACCACTGGAGGCGGGTCATCAAGTCAAATGTGATGACGCCAAATGCAAGGCCATTGACGAGAAAGGCTATCAATCGTTAATAGGCACCCTGATGTATTTGGCTATAACAACTAGGCCAGACATACTACACTCGGTAGTGAAACTGGCGCAGCGCAACGCCAATCCCTCACAAGGAGCATGAAGTTTCGGCAAAGCGCGTGCTGAGATATCTTAAAGGCACGGCTAACATGAAGCTTCACTATCAGGCTACTGGAAAGGAGATACATGGATACGTGGACGCTGACTGGGCTAACGATACTACAGATCGCAAATCGTATAGCGGGTACGTCTTCATTGCTGCTGGCGGGGCAATTTCGTGGGAATCAAAAAGCAAAGTTCGGTGGCACTTAGCAGCACCGAAGCCGAGTACATTGCCTTATCCACGGCAGCTAGAGAGGCGATATATCTGAAGAAACTATTGTATGAAATGGGTTTCTTAGAAACCAAGTCCGTTTTGTTGTATTGCGATAATCAAAGCGCACAATGTTTAGCTAAGAATCCGATTTTGCATAAACGTAGTAAACATATTGATATTAAGTTTCATCATGTACGAGAGTTATATACTAAAAATGAAATAGATGTTAAGTATATAAGTACTAATGATATGGTCTCAGATGTGTTAACTAAAAACTTGCAAAAGAACAAACATGTAAAATGTATTAATGAAATGAATTGTTATTAATATGTATAAAGTATATGATTGTTGAGAAGGAGTGTTGAAATATGATTTGTCGGGCAACAATCGATATACAAACTTTGGTCACTCTTAAGCTACCCTTTTATTGCTTTATGCGATATTTTCTTATGTATTCCTTCTTCTTGTATCTGCTTTTGAAGACGTCACCACATATTGTCGCGCAGCCTTATTAAACATATAAACTTATAAGTTACTCATGTTAAACATACAGCTTCTTATCCGAGTTCCACAATAAATAAAATATCATATAACCAACAAAATGAAATGAAATGAAATCTACTTAAATTAATGAAATCAATTTCAGCCGGCTGCTCTGCTTATTCTTGCTTCCTCGCCTCATTTTCATTTGTTACAGACTGATTTTTTTGGATTTTACAATGTGAACATAAAGTTTTTCGCCAGAATTCGCTTAGATTGAAGTGGAGGATTGGAGGGGGGGACTGTGATTGATTGATTGACTGTCAATTTTAATGCGGCATGTCTTTGCCTAGATGGATGCCGGTTTGTTTGCCATCGGATTTATGGCTAAATGCGTGTAATGAATGTAGCCAACAACAAAAGGCAACCCTCAGCTCTCATTCCCAATGCCAACCGCCTTCCCATTCCCATTTTTGTTCCTCGTCATTGAGCTGCCTTATTAATAACTGAGACTGAGCTGATGCTGATACTGCTGCTGCTGCTGCTTCAGCATCTGAGCCATAATAACAACAATAATAAATAATATAAAATGCCCTGCCAGTATCATAAATATCAGTTACGCGTATTTTATTATCTACAACTGAAGCCGAGGCCCCCACAGGTCCCTCTGCGTCCTTCTTATTGAATTGTTTGCCATATTCCCCACGGATTTCAAGGCGAGCAGCAGGCGCGTGCCTGAGACTGGCATTCGAGGAATTTATTTTGGGTGGTTGGCTCGGTGAACGACTGAAATAATTATGTCTATGTTTGGGCTTTGGCTTACACTGAAAACTGCAAGGCAACTTTAAGGGAATTAAAAGCTCTAAATTCGAATTTTAAACCTTATCTTTTTCCGTTTTTATATGAAAAAATGTTATCTTTTAAAGGAGATTAATGTTTTTACATAATTTTTTAATTATTTTTTAAGTAATATTTATTCCCTTTGATACAATTTCGTAGTGTTGCTTTCGCTTTCTTGCAGATTTCACTGAGTACTTACCAATTATGGTGACCAGTATCATTAGGCCGAGCAGCACCGATGTGACGGCCATTCGCAGCAGCTGCGTGAAATCGTCCTCAGCCACTTTGCTCGTGGTCACATTAAGGCCGGCACTGCCGTTGGTCAGATCCAGTTGGCCACTCCGATTCGACATCATCTCCCCAAACAGGCTCGTATCGTTGCCATCGAGGAGGAGTGTGTCATTCAACAGCATGGCGCCCAGTCCGACGGCCACATTCGTGTAGTTATTGTCCATGTCGATCAGTTGTAGTGCCGGCGAGGATGCTGTATCCTGTTTGGTGGTCAGAGCCCTGTGTGCCGCTTTGGCCGTGATCCTGGCAGCCGCTGCCGCCACCGAGGCACTGGCTGCAGCTGCTGCCAAAGCGGCGGTGGCCAGTGGTGAGCCGGCGGGGGTGGTGCTCGCTTCGGTGGGCGGTGGTTTCAGCGCTAGGGAGCCAACGAAATCGGGTCGTCTTTTCCCGGAGCTGTAGTAGCGTTTGCTATTGTTGTTATTCGTGTCCTCCAGATGTTCAGCCTCCGTGACCGCCATGTCCTCCAGCTCCTGCTCCTCCTCCTCTTCGTCCTGGTCCTGACCATCAGTGTTCTGCTGTTCGGGATGCGGTTCGGCTATCAAAAACGCCCTGTCATTCACGCTATTCGCTATGTAAATGTAGTCGAGCGCATCTGAATCGAAGAAGAAATAGAGATTTTCATGATTGAAGACTTTCATGGTTGCACTGAGAGAAAATTTTCTAAAATATATGATGATACCTTAAAGTTAATACAGATTTTAACAGTTCATTTAATTAGAATACTAAAAACAAATGCTCAGCTTTTAAGAATCGCTTCACTCAAGAAGGCACTCATTTGATTTAGAAATAATTTGGATTTAATGACCTAAGTACTGCATTTGCCATGTATACCCACCATTAAAGCTGGTCTCGTGCGCCATTTTGTGGATATTCGGTGTGTTTTTCGGGATGCTTTGCTACGCTTAATTGCAGCCGCAGCGGAAATGAGGAGTAGACGGAAACGGAAGCGCGACTATGCAACGGCAATGGCGACGGCGATGGCAATGGCAATGGCCTGCTGGCGCTTGTGTGTGTCTGTATGGGTGGGTGGGTATTTGGGGTGGTGCCGTTGTTTCAACTGGCGGCCACTCAGACACGCGGAACGGCACATGGTGACACTTTCCCTACTTTCTCTCTTTCCTTCTTTGTTTTTTTTTTTGTTTTTGTGCCAGCGTGTGCTTGGTGCCGGGCAGGATGTATTATCCTAACGAGCTTTCAAGTGTTTACATGGAGCGTTTACAATTTCGGCTTTTGGCTTTCACTTTTCTTTCCGACTTCCCCTTATTTGTGCTGCTTTTTATTTTTTACTTTTTTTTTTGTTCTTTTTAGATATTTCTGTGTGTGGCAGTGTGTTGCTTTTATGTGCCGTTGATTGTTGCCGACTTGGCTTTGTTGGCCGACTGATGTTTTGTACTCTTTTTTTTTTTTTGGTTATTTAAGCTCTTCCGTTTGCTGTCGTATGTTTACGGCCCATTTGATGTGCTATTTTCATATCCTTGGAGTAACTTTCGCATCCGATTGCCTTCTGGGGTCTGCCTTGTCGGTTCTGCAATAAAAATTCAATTAGTCAATAAATTTTTCGTTGCACAGCGAACTAACCCTAATAAATAGCAAATTGAATTTCTGTGGCTACGCTGAGTTCCCTATTCCTTGTTGGCCCCCCCTCATGTTTTTGGTGGAAAATAATTTCCTGCAGGTCTGCGGCATTTTTGGCTGCAAAATTTATTGTATTCAATTTCCTTTCCGCATTGTGCGTAAAGTGTAAATGAATTTGAAATGGCGCTGCCTCTGCTGCGCCCGCTTGTTAAATAATTTAACGCAATTTCTGCAATTACACGGAATCACTTGGCACGATAAATAAATATGAAGACTGGCGTTGTTTTCTTTGTTTTCTTTATTTTCCATTTTTCCCCAGGCCTGCCACACACACCAATAAACGCATTTACGCACACGAGTTCATGTGTGAGTCTGTGTGTGCGTGTGTGTGTGTGTGACTGGCGGAAGTTTTGCGTGCGTGCGACAGGCGCCATTGCCGACGGCTCCTTTCGTCCTCCGCCACCGCATCTTTCATCCTGCTGCCATTGTCCCAATGTTACCACACAGGCAGCAAAATAAATTTAAAACGCATAAAAATAAGAGCAAGGAGAGAAAATACCCAGGAGCCAAGCCGCCCTCGTAGAATGTCATCGCATTTAGTTACAAGTGAATGGTAACAACTGTGGTCATCATGGCAGTTACTGCACACTATATAATATTCTATTATACTAAAAAAATATATAACTTTAATCCTTCTGTAATATATTTAGTTCAAAACACTTTCTTTTAGGCCTAAGCTTTAAAATTTTCAAATTTTTTAAAGTTCCCTTAACAAGTTCAAAATTAATTTGATTAGTTTTTGTACTTAAAATGTATCTTATGCTCATTTTGATTTCATTAACTCATAAATTGTCATAAATATATTTTGACATATTAATATTCTTAAATCTGAATACCTGATTTATGTTGTAAAGATTAATTAATTCTTTTTTTTGGATGAGACGTTTTTGTGACTATATTTTAAACATTTATATAGAAAGAAGAGCTTAGCTTAACATATCATCTGCCTTTTTTTGAATTACTTTTTATAGATATATGTAAATTTCACCACAACTGTGTGTGGATGGCATACGTGCTCATAGTATAGTATACATTGCGGCGCCATAAAACCCAAAGCGAGAATGTTGCATGTTTAATGCCCATGGACTTTATAGTCCCAGGATCACCCTCTGGGTCAGGATAAGGGTTATGGCCAACTTACTGATATGATTTGTACTGACCTGAAGGTAGAACAAGTAAGTCCGTATATATATTGAATAAATAGGAATATAGAAGATCACAGATGGTACAAATAAAGTAATAAAGTCTGTCCTTTATTCCATTTATATTTCGATGGCTATAAACTAACACATTCAAAGATTGCGTTACCTCATTAATCTGTCAACTCCAAGGCAACAGGCTTTCCATTCAATTAATCCTGAAACTCGCTAGTAAAATCGAAAATCTTTCTCGACTTGCGTTTCTAAGGCTTCCTGTCAAAGAAAATCCCGCTGCTCTTTGAGTTACTTGGAATAGGTTTATCCACTTTCCTCCACTTCGAATTGCACATTTTCCAGCTATCAATGCTTTTCCTTACCGACTTCATTAGCAGCCACTCGCTTTGGCTTTCGTCTGTCATATATGCCTTGGTATCTGCATTTGATATTTAGCTTGTGGCTGCAATTTCCCAACAAAAAAAGGAAGAAATATAGAAGTAGAACTACAAAAAGTCTCTCCTTTAATTCCATTGCAAAGGATACGAGCGCAAAGAAGCCTTATTACGCAACAACCTGGTCTTTTCTGGGGTGGAGAAAAGCCCTTCGGTCTAGGTGCGCTGAGAAAGTTCCCACCATAATAACCTTCAAATGCCAGCATGCGCTTTTCCGAGTGGCCGTGTAACTAACGTTTTCAAGTTCAAAGTCGATTTAATGCGGAAGTTTATGCCAGCCCACAAGTGTTCAAGGCAACTACAGGTGAACTTTCCGGAAGTCCACTTTTTTGAGGCGAACTTTTCTATAATTTGCCAAACGCAATTTGAACTTTCGGAACTTTAATATTTTAAATCTTTTAAATTAAGTTAAGTTTTAAAAGTTAATATTTTTGAATATTTGGGTTAAAGGTGTTAGAAATTTCTATTTCAGTAGTTTGTTTATTGCGATTTACTTTCTTACTTAGTCAGTATTTACTGTACGGACTTACTGTTAAGGATATTTTAGAACCTGGCTACGTGCGCTGCGCTCGTTTGAAGTGCAGTTGAGTGTGAAGACGACACATGTCGCTTAAATGCACACCCAGCCGCACCTGTCTGATCCCTGCATCGTCCCCCTTTCCCCTTTCTTAGCCATCCCGTTTGGCCATGGTGAGTGCACTTGTTGCGGTTCGCAACTTGTCCGGCAGTCGCCTGCATACATTATGCAAGTGTATGCCAACTGTTTCTATATCTACGAGTGTGTGTGTGCGTGTCGGCCGTGTGTGGGCATGTCACTCGCTTTTTATAGTCGGGCTTATCGCATATTTATGCAGTGTGTCCTTTGAAGCAGCGGCACACAGGACGCACAGGGCTATAAATCAACTTTGGTTCACCGCACTCTGCTTCTGACCATTTTGCCACCATAACCACCCACTGCCACTGCCACACCCACACCAACTCCCACTCATTCGCATTCGCATCCGCATCGCAGCAATTACGAAAATTGCCTATCTATGCAATAGTTGTGGATGCCGCCTTTTACTGCGAAATAGTTCCCAGGCACTTGGTCTTTTTTGCCTTGCTTGTTTACCCTGCCAAGTCATAAATCAAGCAAATAACTAAAAGCAGAGGGCAGGGGCTTTAGTTTGAAACTAAAAAATTGTTTTGGGTTTGAGTTGAAATGCAACGTCATCAAAAGGTATCATAAAGCAGATACAGAGATAGGATAGACTTAAATACGATAAGTTACAGTTTTTTTCCAGAATTTGCAGAAAATTTCAAACGGATACAAAAAGTGCTACGCCTTTCCCTTACTTAACTGTAACAACTTTTAAAATTCGAGACTTAGATACCTATTTTTGAAAAGGTATTTGCCTATTTTGCAAATTCTATTTTTTAGAAGTTCTCTCATTTCCGCTTAAAAACCACAAAGTCTATCTCTTTATCTTTGAAAAATTTGTTTAATTTTGACAAATATGTCCCCTACAGTAGTTACTATATAAATAATATAAATCCTAAGTTTAAATTTTGTTTTATTTTCCATATTTTTGAAAGGCTTAGTATACGAATTTAGAGTATCTTCAGGAACTTGTCAATCGACCCACCCATGGCACATGACACAATTGCTGGCATAGTAAGCGTGCCTCTGTGTGTGAAACGAGGGGGAGAGCGGGTGCACGTGGGTACGTGTTAGTGTAAGGCACATCAAAGTGCAGTTTTCCGAATGCAAGCCAAAGCAGTGTTTCATTGTTTGGCCCATGCCAATGCCAGATGTTTGCTGTACGTGGAAGAGGCTCAGGGAAAACGGATGGTGGCGGGGTAAAACTAAAATAAAGTAAAATAAATGGCATACATTTTTCATGCGACGCTCGATTTCATTTACCACAAACTCACACACACACACTCGCACGCCACAAAGTGTAAGTGCAATGTGTGTGTGTGTGTGTGTAGATACAGACATGACCAGACATTTATCAGTTGTTCGCATGCATTGAAAAGATACTAATGTACATATTAGTTCAGCTCTGTAAGTGGCTGCCGACCGCCCTTTCCTTTCTGCCACTTTCTCGGCATTCCTAGTCCCACTTCCGGTTCCGCTTCACCGCCGCCCCTTGCCCAAGTCATCGCCGTTCGTTGGTGTTGTTGTTGTTGTTAGGTTCCTTTTTGCACCATTTCCGCTTCATTTCATGCGCCATTTTTCTCTATCTTTGCAGTCGAGTGTTTGCGCCTTGTTCCCATATCCTGAACGGCCTTTCATTGGCCTCCTTGTTCCGCCCCTTTTAGTTTTTCCTCACCCAGTTTTCCCTCTCAATTTCTTTTCGCCTCCTCCTCTCCTCCTCTTTTGCTCTTTTGCGGTTGCAGCTGTTATGTATACGCTATACAGCTTCAGTTGAGGATTGCTGCTGCTAGCCCAGTTTTGTTGCCACATTTCCCATTTTCCATTTGCCATTTCCATTTTCCTCGCCTGCAATTGCTTTTGCCAATCAGTCTGCTGCAAATAATTTATATCGCTTGAGTCTGTGTTGGCACCTTGGTTAACTCTTTGGCATGTTTTATGGCTCTTTTGGGTGTGCGTTGCCCATAAATATATTGCCCATACGCAGTGTTGACCATGCGAATTGCATTTGGCTTAGTTTTGTGTTATTTCGAGGGTGGCTTTGTGTTATTAGTGTTTGGCCAAGGGTCCTCCGCTAATTGCTCATTAATATTCAATTGCCAGCAGCTTTTGTTCAATTATTCAAGCGCAAGCTTTTCACCAGAGAAACAAATTGTCAGTCGCCCATCTACGCTCTTCTCCTATGCATGTTAAACAATGCAAATAAAAGAGGACACAGAAAGTATGCAAATATTTAAATTCCAGCTTATTTCATGTTCTGAACGGCGGGCGTGAAATAAATAACATTCAATGCATTTTTTATCTGCCCCAAAAGCTGCCGAACAAAAAAAATAGAACTTGAAACAAGTAAGCAAATATAGTTTGGAAATGTTGGAATTGGGGATGCTCTGGTTGCAACACAATATAGTATATATGATAAATGTTGGTCTAACCGAATGTTAAAGTGCTTTAAATTTTGATTTATTCAGCTTGTATGAAACTTCTATTAGCTATTGAAATTATTTTTGATTTATTCGGCAATTTTTATTTCATTTTTTTATTACTAGCACAAAGCTCTAAATATTTCAGGCTAATCTCTGATTCCAAAGCTGCCAAAATCCCTACTCTTTCAGGGCAAATTCCCATTTCTATTTTCTATCAATGAAATCAAACAGATGAAAGAGCCGTTCCGTTTTCCCCTTTTTTTTGGTTGGCTTAAAGTTTTGGCCTGTGAAAAATTTATAAATATGTAGCCAAAATCGGGAGAACAAACAAATGCTAAAACAAATGTTGGCCATGTCCGGGCATCAAATGGAATTGTAATTCGATTAAATATATTTCGATAGAACCAGAAGTTTTGATCCATAGCAAACCACAAGACCATCAAACATTTAAATTGCGGATATTTCAGTGGAAATTTAAGTCGCTTATGGGGCCTTCGAATGAATTTAAAAGGAATTTGTTTGCAACAACAATGCCGCAGCGCATAATAAAATATATGGCCCGTTATTGTTGGCTTTTAATTACTTTTGAGCATCGTTGTCTGTCAGCCCACTGAATCTTCCCCAACCGTATATATCTCAATATTTTCCTTAATGTCAGGACGGCGGCACGATAATAAATTTCCTCATACAATATCCTGCATTTAAATAACACTTCCTTCGCCATGCCTAGGCCAAGGCATCCGTCCACGTCCACGTCCACGTCCACGTCCACGTCCATACGTCAGTCCCGATGCGCTGCTCGACGTTTTCCAGACAGTGAAATGAATTTATTTGCCGCCGGTGCCTGGCCAACAGGAAAAACTGAACTCCACTAACTGCACTCGGGTTCTCGACCAGTTGATTTTGCGTTGAATGGCGTGCGAAGGCACTTTGCTTCATTACTTTGTATGTGTGTCTGTGGGATATCGTGGCAAAAGGACTCCTTTTTCATTCTGCGCGCCCAAAAGTGTGCTAGGGATTTTTGTTTATTTTGGTTAGCCAAGTGAGAAGGACCGGGAGTCCTGGCTAGTGGGCCATCTTTGCCACACAATAACAATTTATGAGCCATGTGCGTGTCCCAGTAGCCAGCCCTTTTCCTTTCATCGGAAACTCGGTAGGAGATTGAGCGGGGGGAAGAGTGTGTGTGAGAAAGTCTGGCATAAATTTTAAATGTGCCACAACTTGACATGCTTTTTGTACTTCCTTTTTTCCCCGCTCCCTCTACCCCATTGTCATCGGCACTTTCCCTTTGCGATATGCAGGTAATGCAGCTCCAGCAGCATCTGTGCTCTCCGCTCTCTTGCATTATGCATGATTCAGCTTGCAGGCTGCATTTTTAAGAGGGTATGGTGGCCACTTTTCACACTCCTCGATCAATTAGTCACGGTGCAACAAAGGCGAGGGTCGCCATCGGGGGATTTGCAGGTTTAACAGGTGCTGTTGGTGTATCATCATGAAAAACTTTTTGTTTAATATTTTTGAATTTTTTAAATATTTTTCTTGCCAAAATAAAGGAAATATTTAGATATTTCGTAAGGTTAGTATTTAAATTTATGAAATTGAAAAAATTAAAATTAAATTAAACATAATTTCCAACCATTATATCACTTAAAAAAATGGCTAAACTGACCCCTTTGATGCGGATTTAATGTTTAAAACACAAAATTTATTGGAATAAAAGCCCCTGCCTTAATTATTCCGTAAACACTCGCCTCTGCACTAAGATGATACTCCTTCAAAGAATACGCCATTTCAGCAACGTGAGCCCCCTTCAGAAGATGGCCAGCAGCAGACAAGGAGGCCCGAACCCAAGCCAGACGCCTCCTCTGCAAAGATGATTTTACGCTTTTGCGCACAATTTACGAAAATAAAAAAGATGTATGAATATGTGTGCCAGTGCCAAGATGCTTATGTATATGTATTGGTATATTCCTATATCTATACATGTATATGTATTAAGTCTAAAGGTAGCAAAGGCTCAAAGATTTGTGTGTCGGCCACGTGTGCGACGTGATTTCTTTCTCATGCAAATAAACGTGTAACAAATGGCGGGGTGCTTTCATTTCGAAGGGGTGAAAAGTGGTGTTGAATCTGTATTTAATACGGGGAAAGTCAGCAGGAGTTGCTGCTGCCTGTATATTGATACAAAATGTGCCTTAACTTCAAGGATGAGAAAGACTTAAACTCGGAGATTAAAAAGATGCTTTGAGAATTTCGTTCTTCGGGCTTCTTCTTCTTTAAGTGAAAGAAAATTTATAAAAATTTGCTTTAAATTCAAGGATAAGAGATTTTAAAAAAGTTAAGGACTCAAAGATTATTTTAAACCATTTACAAAAACGGCCTTAACCCTAAGACTAAGAGCTATTTAAACTGAAAGCTTAAAACAGAAACTGCACTAAATATAAAGACCTGCCTACCTTACCATTAAGCTCATACCATTAATCTCATACCATGTACCTCTTAGCCTGTCGTAATTTCTTGCAACTTTTTTCCTGAAAATTCCATTTAATTCCTTAGTTTCTGTAAAAGCCGCTGTCTTAATTGGCTTGACCACTGTACTGACTGACAGTTCTTGCTTCCTCGTTTTTAAGCCACCTGCACCGCGGGCGGTCTGTCAGACACCTGGAGAGCACCACCACGGCCACCTTCATCACCAATCTCAGAGCTTCAGTGACCTCTTAAAGAGCCTGAGGCGCCACCGCAACCACTTCACACAGGTTGACGCCCCGGCGAGGGCTTTGATTAAAAATTTATTAATATTAAACTTTGCGCACGCATTGACAGCCTTCGCAAGGCAACAACAGAAAAGCAAACGGCAACAAACAATATCCAACTAGCAGCTACTTTGCATAATTGCAAATATAATCGGCCCAGACGGCGGTGGACAACTGGCTGGGTGGAAAAAGTGTACGTGGTGGGGGGGGTGAATAGCGCTGGCTTTAATTAAGTTGTTAATATTAATGAGGAAATTTTCTGGCCCCACGGCGGTCTGATGTTTGATTTTCATTTTGTTATTAATCAGCTTTTAATATATTTAATTAAGTTTTCTGCGCCGGCCAGGCTAAATATGTTGAATATTTCAATAAACACAGTACGCAGATCCCGGAGGCGGATTCCTTCTATATCCGCTGGATGCTGGATGCGGCTAATAATCGTTATTGAAAATAGCAATCCAACAGATTAAGCGAAGAGCACCAGAGCCCGCAGGACTTTTTACTCTTGATGGGATTGGGAGTTGGTTGGATGCTTGGCTGTTGGGTTTGGGAGGGGCTAAATATTATTACCATAGCGTCCAAGAAACTTTTATCGACATTTAAAGCAGAGCCCAAAGTTTCAGCAATCGGCCCCTCTCCAAAAAAAAAGTGGCAAACTTTTTGCTCTGCTTCCAAGGAATTTTTTTCAATTTGCTATCGGGGAATTTTGTTTTCTTCGCTTGGTGCTGTGTTTTATATTGCAAAGTTTTGTTGTTGCTGTTGTTGTTTTTGTACTCCCATCCTATCGACAAAGCTTCATTGGCATAACCCCCGAGGCACCGTTCCACTTTCACTTGGCTCATATGTTTGACACTAACAGATGGCATGGGGCAGCTGCTCGTCGTCCTCGTTCGTTCCCACTTTTCCCCAAAAACATTTCCCGCCTTTCTCACTGCCCTCGATCATGGACGGCCACTTGTCATCTTGAGTGGTCGCTCATTTGTCTGCACAGCTTTTGGAAATTCGCACTTTATTTACGCAACATGCTGTCCCAAGTCCCAAGTCCCGAGTCCTGAGTCCTGGTCGTGGTTCCAGGTCCCTGGACCAATGTCCCTCTCGGCCGCCTGGCCAATTCAATTTTTCATCTTTGCCTCCCCGGCAGACCGTTTATCTTTTGATTTGTGTTTTGGCTTCTCCGCTCCCTTCGTGCTCAAGTGTTTACAAATGATTTGCTGTCTTGCTTGTTATACTTTCTGCCAGGACTTCAGGTTTTTCCTCAGCCACTGTTTTGTTTTGTTTTTCCTTTTTCCTCTGTTTTTTTTAGGCTTCGGTTTGGTTTCGGGTAGGTAGCCCCAAAATGACTCCAGTGAATTGCTCTTCCGGCTGTTTTGAAGCCCCTTGGCTGCGAAACGTTTCAATTGAATCGACGGGCTTGGAGGTGCGATGCTTTCACATGCCGCCAGCCAAATCAGGCATCGACATCGACCTAAAAGTCTCATTTGCATGCGTTTGAAATTGAAAAGCGGTGTCGCCTTCAAAAATATCCAATCGTTCTACTTTGGAATTCTTAAAGTCAACTTTAAGTAGAGACATCTAGCCGGAGGACAGGCCAGCTACAATCGTTTTAGGAGAGTGGCCAAGTCCGAGTTCGGAGATTGCGAATCGTAACCACCGAAAATTGAGGCCCTGTAGTATTGTCGGGTTTTGGCTCAATTCCAGCCATTGTCAACTCATTTTGGGCATGAAGAGTGCAGAGAGAAAAATGAAGGTTATCCTTTTAGATTTTTTTTAATAAAAAGATTTAGTTTTTAACAAGTTCTTAGTATGAAAATTAAACTGAAACTATATTGAAGAATGCAAAAATAATCCTTCTTAATTAGAAATATCGATTGTAATAAAGATATCGAGATAAAAGATAATAAGATACATTACCATTTCAAAGCTGTAATTTATTTTGGTTTATATTTGATATTTAAAGTTTTAGAGCTTGTAGTTTGGTATTTCTATGGCATTTATATTACATTTTCATACATAAAGGTAATCCCTGTAACCCTGACTTTCCAGTGTAGGTCCGGCGGGAGATCCCCGTTGCCGGGCTGCTTAATGTGTGTGCGCTCATGTCGACGGAGGCGATAGCTGGGCTGCTTTGAATCTGGCGCCCGGCGCTCGTAAAACCAGAATATTGGGTGCACAATGTGCTGGGGCAGGAGGTTTCGGGAGGGTGCTTGGTGCTTCTGGGTGTTCCGAGCGGAGGAGCGGAGGAGTGCATTTTGTGGCAGTGCGCAATTAAATAAAATCGACTTGTGCAGCCAAACCCTCCCATTACGCCCTATTCCACCCATCCAACCACCCCCTTCGGATGGCCTTGTCATTGTTTGCTGATGCTGTGTTGTGTAGTTGTAGTTGCTGTTGTAGTTGGAAAGCTGCACTCAATGTTTATGAACAGTTGCGCTCGGCAATTGTCGTTTTTACTGCCAATGCCATGAAGTTTTAAGAGGCAGCCATTTCTGTTGCACTTGTTGTTTGTGTTTTTCGATTCGGAGAAACTAAGGGGGCTCAGGGAGTGGGAGCATATGCAAATCAATTGCTTGAACACACGACTAATACAACACGACCACTCCCATCCTTAGCTAGCTACTTATTTCCTAGCCGAAGTTCAAGGAACCTCTGGGAGCGTGTGTTGGCCAACAAATGGCAGCATGATGTGTGAATAAGTGTAAGTTGGCCCAAATGCGAATGGCCAGAATGACGAAGGCGAAACAAAGAACGTCCTAACCGCAAAACCATCAACGAGGGGTGTTAGATTATAAGCAGTAAGGTAAGGTGCTGAGATCGTAAATATTTTATCGTGGCTTAAATGGTTTTGGTGAGAAAGAATTACTTTAATTTCTTTATTTTTCTCGAATATATTTACTAGTATTTACTGAGCCTAGAGGAGTCTCAGATCAGATCAGAAAGTATGCAATGAAAAAGAGTGTTGTCTGACTTCCAGACCAGAGTATATTGTTGCCTACTTTTAAACGCCAGCCAAGATTATTTCTCTTTTGCCATAAAATAAAATTAATCTAAGTTTAGTCTCAGTTACTGCTATTTTATTTGCTCTGTCGAAATTTATTGAACCACTCTCGTAAAAATTTCAATGCAAGCACTGGCATTTATGTGCTAAACAATACAACCGACACACTGATATACACACGCACACAGCTGCGCGTTCGCACACATACCAACAAGCGGCAAAGCCATAACAAATGAAAAGCAAACTTGCGGCTTGACATTGATGAATGCACGATGAGATTTATGCTCTGCCCCGTGCATATGTATTTGTGTGTGTGTGTGTGTGCGGGTATCTGTGTTCCTGTCTCAGTGACTTTGTCTCTGTGTGTGTGAGTCCTCTCACACTTACACATTCGAACACACTGTCTGGCAGAAATAAATGTTAAGTATACGCATAATAAGCGCCACACTATGTTGCTGTTCCTGCCGTTCATATTCCCATTTCTTCCACCCACTTTTCCAACCTACTGCGCCTGTGTGTGTGTGTGTGTGTTTTACTCATTTACGCACTTTAAGTCGCTGGCTCAACACATTCACCTTTATCTGTGTGCGTTCCAGCCACTTCTCTGTTTACCTCGCAGGCTAAGCAAAAACAAAAAAACTAGGTGGAAAAGTACTCGCACAGCGAAGGAAAAGCAGAGCAGACACGACACTTATGCAATAGCTATCCCAACTATCGAATTCCCTTTGACGGGGCAATGCTATTATTAACATTAAGTGAGAGGTAAAAGTAATATAAATAATCTTAAGGCTTAACGGTTTCTACTCTAAGGTTTAGGACAAACTTTATAAGTTATAATTTAGAAATAAAATTTCATTTGATTTTCCTTTCATTTAGGAAATTGACAATTTGCCATCAAAATCCCATTATCCTAACGGAACCATTTTAACAAATAAGTAAAAAAGTGGGCAAAAGAGAGGGTAAACTAATTTTAAGAACAATCAACTTTTTCTTAATTTAAAGCTTCCAAAGCTTAGGCACAGAAAAATTGCTATTTAAAAATTCTAAATTTTGGTAAACTTTTCCAATAACTTTTTGTTTTTGCTAGAATATCCCAGCTTCGTTGTGAGGCTTCTGTCTAGTTCCCCTTCCATTTGCTAGTTGCTGTTCTGGCGCTTTTATTTTTAATTGTTTGTTTATTTGCTCGACGTGGCCAAGGGCCATGGACTGCTGGAGAACAGCGTAGTAGTAGTCTAGGCTTTGGAGGGTTTTGTGGCTCAGGTTCAGGTTTGCTGGGCCTCCCTATATAGCCAAGGCTTTAGATTTGGTTCTGGCCCTGATTCACCTGATTATTGCCTTTTGTTGTTGTTATATTGTGGCCAGCAAACTGCAACTGTTGCTCGAGCACTTGACTTGACAGTTTTAATCGCATTATTATGCAGGGTAGAAATGGAAAACTGCACAAGCCGGGCGGCAGGCGGGTAATGAATTCCAAATGTCGGGACCTTGACCGAGGAATCCAAAGTCCAAGTGCAAGACCAAAGCCAAATAGACTTCATTGTGTTTAGACAGTGGCGAGTTAAATGGCAAATGTCAAAAGTTGGCTTTAATTTCGGACCAACATGGATCTACTTTTGGAGCTGGCATACAAGTTTGTTGGCTCTACAAAGTACCCACTCTAAGTGCAGACGATGTAGATTAAGAGCCGCAGCTTGTTACCTGTTACCTGGCCGGAGCAATTAACGCTTCTCCAGCAGCAGTAATTACATATGCAGCATGCGAGGGAGTGCTGGGGAACAGAAATTAATTAAAATGCAATTAATGGGGCTGCCGCCCACTTCAGCTTGTTTCGTTTTAATGGTTTATTTTATGAAATGCCAGACTTAAGTGCTTTGAACAAAAAATTGCAAGCAGAATTCAAATAAAATGCGACTATATAAGCCAAGCAAGTAAGGAAAAAAAGAGTAAACCTAGAGTGGCTCTCATATTGCGTATACGCCGCGTTTGCCTTTTGCCGAATACCTGC